CCTCACGGTATTTATTTATACCCCATATTCCACAGCCATAAAAAGAACCGGTTGAACTAAAGTTTGATATAACTTGTTAAACACATCATATGTCATTTCACCGGCATGAGAATATTTTACATACAACGATGTTAGTGCTCTGCTCGCAGATTTACAGAGTTCTTTTACAGTGAAATGCAAATCCATGTGCTCCTCAAACCATAGCCCCAAGTACTTGTACTTAGTATTTAAGGCGATAACTATATCACCACATGAAAACGTGTGATCAGTAACAGGCATGGAATTATTTCTAAAGTGTACTACATTAGTTTTATCTTGATTTATTTCGATTTTCCACTTTTTACACCACATATTTAATACATTCAACATCTTTTTCATTGATTTTTCGTCGGGTCCAATGAGAGCAATATCATCAGCATAGAGAAGAATGGAGATGACACATGATTCTATATCTACTCCACATTTTAAATCATTAATGTCTTTAGCTAAGTCATTTATGTACATGGAAAAAAGTGTCGGTGATGCGTTACAGCCTTGTTTTAAACCTTGCTTCATAGTTACAGGTTGAGTAAGAACACGGTTTATTCTAATTCTACATTCATAATTAAAATATAAAGATTTAATAGCATCCAAGAAATATCCATTTAAACCATAATGTTCTAGCTTAGCCCACAAAAGATCTCTGTTTACACAATCAAATGCTTTCTTCATGTCAACAAAACATACAAAAGTAGATTTTTTCTGGATTTTTCGGTTATTTATGATAGAGTACAATAAATACTGGTGATCTAAACAACTTCTATTCTTTCTAAAACCGTTTTGTTCATCTACAAGTAATTCATTCGTTTCTAACCACTTTGACAACCGATTATTTAAAACATTGGCGTAAATTTTACATGGGATAGATATAAGTGCGATTCCTCTGTAGCTTTGAGGATTCAATGGATCCTTTCCTGCTTTTAAAATGGGGTTAATAATACTCTGTGTCCATTTGTCTGGTACTATGCCATTATTAAAACAATGAACAATAATTGTATATAAAAGATCAATACAAACTGGGTTTCTGAGGACATTGCTCTGAATATTGTCGATACCGGCCGCTTTATTTAACTTAGCGCGATAAACAGAATCTTCAACTTCTTGACGGGTTATAGGTAGGTTCAATATAGTACTGTCGGTGTCGAGCTTAGGCCCCAATATACTTTCTATGTCTTCTGTTACAACTGTAGCGTCTGACGTGTCAGCGCCTTGAAGATTCTGGAAAGAATCGTACCAAACTTTTAAAGATTCATCACAGTTTTTCGTAATGTTACCACTTGCATCTCTCATTGTATTTGGTATGGTATATGATCTCTCTCTTTGCATACCAAGCTGACCTATTTTCTTCCAGAAATCGGTAGGGGAATTATTACACATGTCGAGCAATTCATCTTGTTTAAGTTTTTGGTATCGGTGCTTTTCTTGTCTAAGTGTTTTATTAAAAAGTTTACGGTCATTTATATATTGAATTTTTAGTAATCGCTTTAAATTTGCATGACCCTTACACTTAAGCCATTTTCTCTCACTTTCATTACGCTCGTGAACTAAGTTCTGTAACTCTTCCGTCCAATAAGGTTTCCGTCGCAGAGTAGAGTTTATTCTCCCCATACTATCTCTAACCTTTAGTGTTGGTAACTTAGCCTCCATTTCGCTTTCTATTAAGTTAGTAAAGTCGCTGTACGCTTGGTTAACATCGGAGGAAACCTCTAAATCATGTTCTATTTCGTCAATTGCCGTTAAAATTTTCCTCATTGCATCATCATCATTCATGAAATTTTCAGGAATATATTTGGTGTCGTATCGTTTAGGTCCATTACACTTTGTTTTCGTGACATCTGTTTCATTTTCTACACTACATAAATTGATTTTGAATTCTAGCAAGGAATGATCAGGAATACGGTCAATATAATTTAATGACAAGCGTTCACTAATATCAGACATGAGCTGAACATTAAAATCTTTAACGCTGCTCAATCCTTCATGAGATACTAGTAAGTAGTCTACAAACGACTTCCCCTTTGATGACACCTGGGTAAAATTTTGGTTACCTAACCTGCCGTTAACAATACAAAAATTGGTATCAGAGAGGAAATCGATCAGCTGATAACCATGATCATTTATGGTACTGTCGATAACGATACGGTCTGTTATGTCATCGACACCTTCAACATAATCAGTAAGGTCACCACATCTTGCGTTGAAGTCCCCAATCACATAGACATGTCCTAAGTTTTGGTACAGATAAACTTTTTCTATCAAGCTACTAAAGAAACTTTCCGCGTCAGAAGCTCGTGAGGAATCTTTAGGAGGGAGGTAACATACACATATTACAAAAACTTCACCATCACCATCATCGAGTTTAACCCATAGACAATCTTCAGTTGAATCGTCAAGTGTGACACACTTATATTTTTGGTAAAAATCCTCTTTATATGTATTATGTATGTTTGTTTTGAGAGTTCACTCTTCATGTATGTCTGTAGGTAGGTACGTATCACTCTTCATGTATGTCTGTAGGTAAGTACGTATCACTCTTCATGTATGTCTGTAGGTAGGTACGTATCACTCTTCATGTATGTCTGTAGGTAGGTACGTATCACTCTTCATGTATGTCTGTAAGTAGGTACGTACGTATCACTCTTCATGTATGTCTGTAGGTAGGTACGTACGTATCACTCTTCATGTATGTCTGTAGGTAGGTACGTATCACTCTTCATGTATGTCTGTAGGTAGGTAGCAAGGTATCACTCTTCATGTATGTCTGTAGGTAGGTATTTATGTATCACTCTTCATGTATGTCTGTAGGCAGGTAGCAAGGTATCACTCTTCATGTATGTCTGTAGGTAGGTATGTATGTATCACTCTTCATGTATGTCTGTAGGTAGGTAGCAAGGTATCACTCTTCATGTATGTCTGTAGGTAGGTATGTACGTATCACTCTTCATGTATGTCTGTAGGTAGGTATGTATGTATCACTCTTCATGTATGTCTGTAGGTAGGTAGCAAGGTATCACTCTTCATGTATGTCTGTAGGTAGGTACGTATCACTCTTCATGTATGTCTGTGGGTAGGTACGTATCACACTTCATGTATGTCTGTAGGTAGGTACGTACGTATCACTCTTCATGTATGTCTGTAAGTAGGTAGGTATCACTCTTCATGTATGTCTGTAAGTAGGTACGTATCACTCTTCATGTATGTCTGTAATTAGGTACGTACGTATCACTCTTCATGTATGTCTCTAGGTAGGTAGCTAGGTATCACTCTTCATGTATGTCTGTAGGTAGGTACGTATCACTCTTCATGTATGTCTGTAGGTAGGTACGTACGTATCACTCTTCATGTATGTCTGTAAGTAGGTACGTACGTATCACTCTTCATGTATGTCTGTAAGTAGGTAGGTATCACTCTTCATGTATGTCTGTAGATAGGTAGGTATCACTCTTCATGTATGTCTGTAGATAGGTAGGTACGTCATTATATACTATTGTATTACATTACATTACATTGTATTGTATTGTATTACATTGTATTGTATTGCATTACATTCCATTGTATTATATTGTATGTATTATATTGTATGTATTGTATTGTATTGTATTGTATTCATGTAAACATATCGACCGTAAGGTCCTTCGAATAAAATTGAATTGTAATTGAACTAAAATGAATTGGTATGATGTTACTAATTACACCCACAGGTCGGTACATGTATTAAAGATGTCACTTAAACGGATGTGTGTTGTTCTGTTGTTTTTAACAAATGGTTTGGTTGTCAGATTTGTTTCATTCAATTGTGTACAACTTATATCAGCTTATCTATATACACAACGTCAGTGCACTGTACAGAGGTCAGTTAATATAAAAACAAACTGGCAACCAACCCATAAGTAATATATAACACTGAGCGTTCGGCTGCTTCAGATTTGAACACTAATGGGTCAAGCAGAAGTGAAAAATTAACAAACTCATATTTTACCTCAATTTCCTTGAAGTTCAGTCTTGGTCTGAACATCAAAATTCCTTATGTATATCGATTACTGAAGAACACACAGGGAACGCAAGGTTTCGAGGGTATTATTAGAAAGAGGTGTGATATACAGTAGGAAGATACAAATTTCCACTGTGCTTATATCTTAAATGATCAGTTTCGTTATTGCTGCCCTCATTCTTTTTAATATTATTTTCACGTTTTCTACCTATATTGCTTATACTGGTGTATATCTCAGTTGTTTTTTATTACTAAGATAATGGTCATAAGTTGATGTCATAATACTGATCTTATAAACAGGTTTAATAGCAAAATAAACAGAAAATACCAACAGATCAAGTACATATGAACAATTATTCACAAGATGGACCGTCGTTTTGTCGCTTTATCCCTATTGTTAATGTCTACAATAATTTGTGTTTTAATGACGTCATAGCGTCGTACAACCGTCCACAACTTTACATTTCCAAACGTAGTCCCCTCTTGCCCATTGTATCCAGGCCCCAACTCCGCCCCTCTCTCTCTCTCTCTTCCTCTCTCCCTCTCTCTCTCTCTCTCTCTCTCTCTCTCTCTCTCTCTCTCTCTCTCTCTCTCTCTTAATGCCCTTCTGTTTTTTCTGCTAAGTCTGTCCACATTCTTTCAAAGGTAAATAAACATGAATAAAAGATTATCAATGAAAATGCTTGAGTGAAATACATGTATTTTCTCTAAATTTAGAGGAGCACAATATTACCTATTGAAATATGATGTCGATAAATGTCACAAAAGCTACATAAAATTAACTAGATCGTTCAGTCGATTCACTCGGATTAACACAGTAAACAGATAATCAGAAAATTCAGTGAAGGCTGTACATCTACGGACTCAACAGGTTTACGCTTATAACAATTCTGCATGCAGTTTATCTGGTTCAACTCTATACAATGTCACTGTGATGAGGTAGAAGTCAGCCAAAGTCACTGGTCACTCATCAGCTGTCGTCCTCAAAGGTCACCTCTACACCGTAGTGGTCAGATATGGGGAAATTCTGACCATCGATGTTTTCCGTATGGAGAAGCTGAAAAGATTGAAGAAACATAATTCCAACATGTCAACATATTCAAACTTCAATTCAATAAATTTAGGGCAGAAAAAGATCCAAAGATAAATTTACTTGGAGATACATCAAACTGCATATTTTGAAACTCGAATCGACTGCTAAAGGTATACACTATAAGTTGGGGATGCAGGAATGTTGCTACTCAGAAATTGAAAATTCACAACAGGGAAATTGAAATCATCACGCTTGTCATACAGCTTGGTGGAAAGCCGCCCCTGTTGGTTTCGTTGTAGGAAAAGATCCAACAGATAAAACTGAAATGTAACAGTAGCTGTAGGCTACTAATATAGTGTACAACACTGATGATTGTACAAAAGACAAGCCAATCGCAACTTATAATACAAATTTAGGGTAAAATACGGTAGAGCAGTTTCGTCCTTTTGGGACTCGTCAGTGAAACTAAAGGGCTAATCGTTGAAGTCTAGGAGGCTACTTAGGAACATCCAAAGTGATCGAAAAAAGTTGTTTCAATGCGGAAGTGCACGCCCCAATTCAATCAATTCTGTAATCTTCGTATATCTGATTTGATGTTAAGGTCGCTACATAGACAAGGTCCTTCATATTTCACATCCAGTAACTGAATTACCCCCCTCCCCTCCCCCCAAACCTCCGCATCATCAAATACAATCAATAATATACATGCGTCTGCCCAAGGTAGTCACATAGGAACCTGACCTTTCTCAAAAAATTGATTGTTAAACATAGTAAACAGCAGGTAAGACACGTGAGCTGATCTCCTACATGATATTAATGTACAAAGTACAGCCTGAATCCAGAATAGTTCCTATCAATATTTCGTATTACCTTGGAATTAAGGACGTTGTGCCCTTTTGTCAGTACATGGTCCAGGATCCAACTTTCATTGTCAAACGTGAGAACATTTTCCTTACAGAATGTACATCTACCCACGCGATCCACGAATGGGGACACCCAATGGCCGAACAGGAACTGGTTGTAGGAGGCTGTAAGTGTTAAGTGTTAGTATTCACTGAAACCAGGTTCTGTTTTCGGATATATGAAATCCAACATTTAAAATGTTAGTGAATATTCAGTCGTACGTTATTGATCAACTGATGTCATGATTTTGTCAGCAAAAATGAAATTCATGGATTAATGTTATTTTCATTACACATAGAAATTCTAATTCAGAAACTTTTCTTAACTTTAAAGCTAACCCATCAATACCAATACACTTACCTGACATGTGGAGGAAGACACCTTGTCTGACAAAGTAGTGATTTACACCTACCTCACATGTGGACGAAGACGCCGTGTCTGATAAAGTAGTGCGTCAAACGTATCTGATATGGGGGGAAGACGCCATGTCTGACAAAGCAGTGTGCTACACATACCTGACATGTGGAGTAAGACATCTTGTCTGACAAAGTAGTGCGTCACACATACCTGACATGGGGGAAGACGCCTGACAAAACTGTGTGTCACACGTACCTGACATGTAGGGGGAAACGGCATGTCTGACAAAGTAGTGTGTTACACGTACCTGACATGTGGGGGAAGACACCCTGATTGGGCAGGCCTGGACTGGTATTAAGATCCCCCATTATGACGCCTTTCCTGTCGTCGTTGAACAGACTCACCAGCACGCTAGCCTCATATTGGCTCTGATCCGCCCAGCCCCTAAACCTGTCCATCAGGCTCGCTGTAACATATAACCTGTGACGTGATTGCAGTAAACATGGTAAAATACTGATCAACAATACCGTTAAATGTAGATGAAGCTAACACGTATATCTTGTTTAATCTTATATCAATGCTTTACGTTAGATAAACACACACTCTCGCATGTATCCCTTTTGTGACGCCAGCTTTATTTTTACCTTTCCCTTGGAAGATTTCGTTTTGTGTTCCTACGGACTTATTGATACAGGGAACAGAGATTTTAGGAGGTCCCTAAAATTTACCTTGGAATACATTGATGCATTGAATTTATGGTTATGGTTTGGTAACGTATTCATCGGATATACGAAGTTAGAAATCAAATCTAGAAGGTAACGCCTTGGGCTTCACTGAGGACACCGCCATGCATATCTAGGTCAATCCCAAAAAATGCCATGTTTTCAAAATTAGAAGCATGGCAGTAACAACAAAACAAGGAGCAAAATAAAGAACGCCTTACACAATGAACTACACATTACACAAGGACATATTACTAATTCAAGGACTGTGATGACGAACGTCAAGATGTCCAACAGTCTTCATCAGCTTGAATCCCAAGAGCCCAGAGCACAATATTGTAAATAATCAATGTCGTATATAGTCCTAAATCATTTCACATTGTCATTAAATTCGGAATAAAAACACTTTTATAAGCTACTAGCCTACGACCAACGTAATCTGCATTAAAAGAAAATCGATAAAACTAGGAAACGATTGTATAAAAGATACGCAAATGAATAGCACGTTTCAATGCAATAAGATACAGTAGAGCCAAATAATTAATTAAACTGCAGCATACAGCTGTTTTATCCTCCCAGGAAAAGACAAAAGAAAATTTTACACGGAAATACATGAAAGATAAAAGTGAAGAGAACCAATTTTACCGGAAAGGTAAATCCACCATGTAAATCTTGATCTACCTACGAAAGAAATGTCACGTTCTCAAATGAGAACAAGGTAACCAACAACGGAATCACCAGGCATACCATCGAGGAACAAAAATATGTAACTACACGTCACTCAACTAAACCACAAGCACACACTGGCTGTAAACAATGGTCTAAAATAGAAACATTACGATTAAATCCTGCTTTGTCTCATTCATGTGCTAATGAACGAAGCTGGGTCTCGAGACAAAATCAAGATAAATTGAAGATTTGTTAAAACTCAATTCTTCGCCAACTAGATAAAAGAAATTATAAGATTAGATTCTTAATACTAACTGTTTGTGCTTAACAAATAAAACCGACCCATGTAGTGTGACCAATGATATACTCACGTTCAAGGTAGAAATCCCCAAGATATGACGTCATATGTGTGCAAACAACAGGGCCGAAGTTCTGTACCTACACAATAGAAACGTTTAAGAATTAGTCTGAGATACAACGAGAATATCAGAAATGGTAAGGACACGTACCTACTTCACTTCCACATCCCATCACCCAGTCTATCATAAAATTTCGTGGGTCTAAATAATTCATTCTTGCTGCTCCTTTGATAAAGACAAAGACAATCTCAAGCCTGATTTGCTTGCTATGCCAATTTTCCTCTGCGGGTCAGCGTAGTTTTTAGATATTGAACTTTCTACCTAATAAAATCGCTACCCACAAACTTTCTTCTTTCTCATGATATATACGTATATGCTATGCCAGCGTATGCTACATAACGTCATGTTTGGTAGTGCGGATGTTTTGGGTTTTTGTTATTTTGACTTTCACTCACCTCAGCTTTGACATACGATCGCTGTGCTATGGTCTTGGTACCCGGGAAATAGTCTGTAACAGAGCCTCTGAAAAGCGGCCGCTTGCTGAGCAGAAGAAGACCCTGGGGGTTGTAGTTGTATCCAAAGCCGTACACACAGCCTCTAAGAGCAGCAAATGTGCCACCAATCACCACGCACGAGATACACTCACGAGATACGTCTACGAAACCACACGACACAACACAACGTACCACGTCCTCTTCTGTTGGCTCGTTTCGACAATAGGTCAATGCGCAAGTCGCGAAGGACATAGCCGCCCAGCTAAAACATGGAGGCCAGAAGGTACGGTAATGGAACGATCCCGCCTGGTCATGGAGCGGACTTAGTGAGTGTGGGTAAACGTCTTTCAGTGACTCAATGATGTGCTGTACGTCCCCACTTCTCCAAATCTACATTGAAGTATCAAAACAATGAAAGGATTATTGCTTTAGGAACACATTGTTCGTCATTCTACATACAAGTGATATTTTTTCTATTTTTTCCCCATTCACTTTATGTTAACTCGAAAGACCTAATGCATGCTAGCCGTACCTCTTGAAGGCAAACGACGTCACTTCCGTTCTGTCTGAGTTCCGGAATAACAGCTTCTCTCCTTATATCCATATTGTTAACTCGAGGGTTGAGACCAACGTTGTAGGTCTGTATGGTTATTTCCCTTGTGTGTGCAGCCACACAAAACAGGAGGATGAGCCACGCGGTATAAGCCATTTCTAAAAAACGTAAATATAATATATACAGTCACAAAATACACGAAGATGGGTCATAATGTAAAATACATGTAACAACACAGAATTAACTCATTCTAGAAAACGTAAATATAATATATACAGCCACAAAATACACGAGGATGGATCATAATCTACCATAAAATGTAAAGTGTTTAATAAGAATTCATTACAAATTCGTATTACTCTCTCAAACCGTCATCACATGAAGATATTATTTAGTAAGAACCATAACTCTGTATTCTGTTGTTTGTAACTAACACTGATGTCTATGGTATCAATGTGTCGTTATATATATAAGTATAGGTATAACAAGGAGCTGTTGAATGTGAAAGGGTCATCATATCACACCATGATTAGGGTCCAGACAAAACACTATCGATACAAGTCGTAGTTATGAATATTCATTTATATACAGTTAGAGACCACGTTTTAACCTGCATAGTTTAAAACTCTACATGACGTACATACAATGACATTCTTTTTCAATTAAGTTTGAATTAAAAAAAAAAAATCTATATTAATATTTTCAATGCTGTTTCATAAAAGCATATGTATTAACTACAAAATAGCATAATGTAATTCTGTGTCACTCACATCAACGAATCATATATGTACACGACAAAGAAGAAATATTAAATCATCGCTTTCTTCAATAACGCACGTTCATATTTCCTTTTGAAATATTCCTATCAAGTGTTTTCTGTAGTTAAAGACAGGAGAGAAATGGTAATACGTAACTATGCTTGTCATGATAGAGGAGACCCCAAGAAATGGGAGAGAGGTGAACATAATGTATGTTGGACATTATAAACATTAACCGTTAGAGACATCCTAAATGTTTTACGACAATTGTTGATCACGCTATCCCTTAAACTTGATATCAAATCATTTGTTCAACAAATGCAAAGTCAATATGAAAATTGGATTGGGTTACCTCTAAGTTTCCGAAGATAAGTAATCATCGGTTATACTGAGACGGTCAAAGGAAAGCGTAAGTAGTGACAGGGAATCGGTTTATTTTCTGCATCAGTTCCCACGATTACTTTTGTCATCACCTGAACACCTGGTCTTACTCTCCATGTGCTTTTTCAGAAATCTCCATGTAAATCTTTCTTCCGTTCGTATTTTGCAGTAGTTTTATTGAATTTTGAGCTTGGATTATGATTATGTTATGATGTTGATATTTTATTGTATATGTTTCTACATTTAAATACATAAAATATGAGCAAAATAAGACAAGGAAAAAATACCCTGTGTTTATCCTCAAAATTTTGTTTTGACCTCATGATTGTTGAAAACAATTTCTGAAGTGTTTACATCTCCGTTTATGTAGACGTCTGACCCGGTGTGACCTTTATTAGTTTTTTATCAGATGACATATTTACACTGAATATGACGCTCAACCAACTGTTGTCTAGTCAACATAACGAAATAACAACAACATAGAAAATAGGTCAGTGAGATAACCAGTCCAGATGTTTAACACAACTCCACCCCTTACCACATCTTACTCAACGACAACAAATTAATTCAAAACAAATTAATAATTAATGATAGGTAAGAGAGCGGTAATTTCTAAAACGAATTGATAAAAACCATGGAGGAAAAATCATTCAGTAGATAATTATGGTGCGCAAAAGTATTGAGTTTCCAATTAACTTCGCGACCGGATACCACAAAGTAAACCTCAAAAGTCAGTGATTTAAGGAAATTATAATATAAACGCTGATGCGAGCTGCATATTGTTATATATTTACATATCATGACATTTCTGCACTGTATATTTTCTTTTTGTGTCCACTAGTTAAGGGTATGGAAGTGACTGGAAATTCGTCACAGTTACGTCGATAGTAGGCCTATTTAGACCTTCTACATGTATCTATATTGTTACCGTACAACTGTCTTGACTATAATTTTAATCTTATAGATGAGAGTCCTACAAACAGGAAAGGTTAAAAGTGAGTCTTGTCCCTAGATCCTAAGAAAGATTTATACATATAAGAACACAAAATATGTGACATTGACTTATCATTGGTTGCTTAGCTACAACGCGGGTTTCATACAGAATTAACATATCCAGTTTGTGACATTATTGTCTATGTACAACATCTTCCTTAACTTATTGTGATAACTCAAACCGCTAGAGAATCAAACTCTATCGTTAAATAAGTCACAAAATTTTAGTAGATGTTACAATCATAATTTCCTACGTGTATGTGTTTTGTCCCTGTTTGGCTTCAGAAGTAAAACATGTCCATGCGAACAAATACTAACCTTATTAAATGGGATTTGGTCTTTCTCTCTCAACAGCTAGGAAAGGATCGGCTTTACCGGCAGTCAACACACGAAATGTACTGCTTTGTACCTGTAAGTGATAGATGAGGACCAGTCCAATTATGAAATTATGTGAACTATGATCTTCATGATGTTGTGGCGGGTACAAAGAACATACCTGATAGATACAGTCGTTGTTTACTTACCTTAATCACCTGTCATCATCATACGTTCGTACTGTTCACCAGTCCCCAGTACAGTAATGCAGACTTCAGTATACTCGACAAATTACTTAGATATTTATCATAATTAACGTTAAATAAAAACATAAACCAAAAAAGTTATGTACTTTACGTATAGATATAATTATATCAATATAAACTTTACTCATCTTACAACAATTGCGAACCAATTATTCTAAGTTATATTAATCATTCTTGTCAGCCTTATTTGAAGGGATGGAAGTATCCGGGGGAAACCAACTAAGGTGGGCAGGTAACCGTAGGCTTTTCCCGTCTGTTTGGGGAATCCAACCTAGGAGGCCTTGGTGAAAGGCGAGTACGTTACCATTGCGCCACCCGACCAACTAATTTTTGTTTGATAAGTAAATAATTACAATTTGATATTTACGAAATTATTATTTACTATTTACAATTGGAATATATTCACTAATTTAAGGTTTTCTATTGTTTAACGTCCTGTCGATACCTTAGGTCATTTAAGGACAACAACGGTGATATCAGTCTGGTCACACACAGCATCAACCATTTCATCGTCACTACAGTTAGAATACTGATCGCAAACCTCCCGGCAACATTTACCATAATGTAACAGTATACGACATGAAACCATTGTTCTTACTGTGTAATTTCTGCTGTTATCATTAATTACTCCTTTTTTTTTTTTTTTTTTACTTATGTTGATATAAAAGTATTTTATTTGTAGTACTTTTATATCAATCTCCTTGTACGTTCATACGGTATGGTTTTAACCTATTTCTCTAAACATCCCGTAATACAATATTAACTTATTTCTCTAAACACCCTCGCAGTACAATATTTACCTATTTCTCTAAACATCCTCGCAGTACAATATTTACCTATTTCTCTAACATCCTCGCAGTACAATATTGACTTATTTCTCTAAATATCCCCACAGTACATTTTAAATTTATTTCTCTAAACGTCCCACAATACAAAAGTAACTTATTTCTCTAAACATCCCCGCATTACAATATTAACTTCCTTCTCTAAACATCCCCGCATTACAATATTAACTTCCTTCTCTAAACATCCTTGCAGTACAATATTCATTTATTTCTCTAAACATCCCCGTGATCGTGATGAAATCTTAACCCGCTTATCGTGATTATTGTTTCATTGCAATAACGCCATAAAATGACTAATTTAACCAAGGTACAACATATTGTCTATCATCCAGAATCTAGATTAATCCATTGTGCCCTACATATCTAGCGCGACCGACCTCTCTAAAACGCTCCTTTGATATCACATAATGACGTTTATTGACCAGATAACTGCCTTGGGTCAGGTGAACTTTGGTACCGGCAGATATGCGGCCACATCATTTTCTGTTTACAAATGAGGTCAATATTACAATGTATTATTAACGTATTTGTTATCCAGGTAAGTGCATGTCGTTCTAGCATTGATGAAGTGATTTACACCGACGTGAACTCGATACAAGTAGAATTGATGGACACTGACTTACACTGATGTTAACTCGGTACAAGTAGAATTGGTCGAGACTGATTTACACTGATGTTAACTCGGTACAAGTAGAATTGATCGAGACTGATTTACACTGATGTTAACTCGGTACAAGCAGAATTGATGGACAGTGATTTACACTGATGATAACTCGGTACAAGTAGAATTGATCGAGACTGATTTACACTGATGTTAACTCGGTACAAGTAGAATTGATCGAGACTGATTTACACTGATGTTAACTCGGTACATGTAGAATTGATTGAGACTGATTTACACTGATGTTAACTCGGTACAAATAGAATTGATTGAGACTGAATTACACTGATGATAACTCGATACAAATAGAATTGATTGAGACTGAATTACACCGATGATAACTCGATGCAAATAGAATTGATCGAGTCTGATTTACACTGATGATAACTTGGTACAAGTAATATTGATAGACACTCCAGTAGAATTGAGAATATAGACGACAGTTGTATACCATCGTCGAGAATACGCTGGAATGTACTGCACGCCAAAGATTTTCAAGTAAGAGGTCCATTGTCTTAATGGACATCTAACTATAAAGACATATATAGGAAAGAGGCAAAATAGGCTTAAAATCAATTGCTCAACTACCCCACAGCTTACAAAGCAGATAGTGTTGGTTCATCAAGATATCTCCTGCAAAATTAAAATTATATTCTTTATATACCAACACTACATAATTGCCATTACTCCGGATTTATTGCTTGTTAAAAAAACAGGCTACAAGCCCAATATCAAGACCCTTAGCCATTCGGTTATTGAGAACCTGCTTAAGCATTTCAACACATTTGACCTCTGTGACCTTGAAAGTGGTAGCCCTAAATGCATGCTACATGCCTAATATCAACATCCTGGGTCTTTCGGTAATTGAGAGGAAATTGCATAAGCAATTCAATACATTTGACCCTGTGACTTTCAAAGTTAGTCTAATACCAGCAGCCTGGTCCTTTAAGTTACTGAGAAGAAATCATCTAGACATTTTAACACATTTGTTACCTGTGACCTTGAAAGTGGGTCAATGTTATTTATATTTTTAAAAGTTGTTAGGTCTTAATCCTAGCATGCTACAGACCTAATATCATAATTCTTGGCCTTTTGGTTATTGAGAAATCATTTGAATATTTTAACATGCCGTAGTCGATCTCTGTGACCTTTCAAGTGGATCAAGGTCATTCCTATTAACTGGGGGTCGAACCAACCTTCTGAATTAAAGAAATGATTCTCCACTCTCAATAATGTTTCACATCAAATCTGGTTGAACTCATTTCAAGCACTAAGAAAGAGTAGAATTTTGAAGCAAAATATTGATTAGCTTTCAAACTCCAATTTTATAAAACTAAAGCAAAATATGAACAAAAGAAATATTTACACAGAGACTCTTGAAAAAGTCCCTAGGGGTCGAATCAAATTTCTGAATTAAAAAAAAATAATTGCCAACCCTAACTAATGAATCAGGTCAAATCCACCCAGGCATCAGGACAACATAGACCTGTCAATTATGGAAACCTCAAATATCTAAGAAAACACCATGGACATTTTCCATCGCCTTCCCCTCTGAAACTGATAACATTAAATTGTCGTTCTGTTAAGAACAAAGCATCGTCTATTAGCGATTTATTGATATCTAATGACTCAGACATTTTGGCAATAACTGAAACCTGGTTGGGTACTTCAATAGACTCAAGTGTAATTTCTGAACTTTTGCCCACTGGTTACAGCATCCTGCATTCCTCTCGTAGTGATAGACGGGGAGGAGGAATCGCAGTGGTTTATAAGTCCAATTTGGTGTTAAGCAAGTGATGTCTCCAGATGAGAATGACTGGACTAACTTTGAGCATGCTGAGTACTCAGTAACTGCTGGCTCTACTTCACATTTTAGACTCTGTGTAATATATCGGCCGCCGTCTTCTAAAAAGAACGACTTTCGAAACAGTCATTTTTTTCGAACAGTGGTCTTCCTATCATGATCTCCAAGCTGCGAAATCACAGGATGTTGTTATAACTGGTGACTTGAACTTTCACCTGGATGACTCTAACGACGGCGACAACCTAGTTCAGCACGTTACAGGGGCCACACACATCCATGGACACACGTTGGATGTAGTAATAACACGCGATGGAAGTCCTCTCATTCTGTCTGTGCCATCCATCTTTGATCCTCATCTCAGTGATTCCAAGAGAAATATCAAGTGTGACCACCTGGCTATTTGTACCTCCTTAAATGTCTCAAAGCCCAAACGAATCAGGAAAGAAGTCTTATTTCGGAGATTCAAATCAGTTTGTACGACAGATTTGATATTAAATCATCCCATACTCTACAGTCTGTAGATGGCACAGTGGATGACCTCGTAAATGCCTACAATACTGGTATAAGTACCATCATTGACAAACATGCTCCACTGATTTCTAAAGTTGTGACATTGAGGCCTAATACCCCGTGGTATAATGAAGAACTCCGCGGTGAGAAACAGAAACGGCGCACAGCTGAGAGGTTATGGAGGAGAACACGACTTGCAATCCACAATCAGTTATACAAAGACCAGTGTCGAAAAGTGAGCAAACGTCTTATTCAAACCAAACGTGAATATTACTCCAGTAAAATTGAACATTGTCGCAATGATCATAAACAACTGCACAAACTTGCCAAAGGCATAATGGGCCAGAAACATGATACTGTTCTTCCAAGTTGCGGGTCCCAAGAAGACTTATCGGAACAGTTTAGTTCATTCTTCATAAACAAAACTGTCACGTTAAGAAATGAACTTGCTTTGAATGATTCGGTGGATGTTAATACTGTTTCTATGTCATCAGACAGCGAATTTCAAGGTGAACATTTTATGTAAAGCGCTTTAGTGTAATCCTAACGAATTAGATAAGGCGCTATAGAAATTTAGTATATTGAACAAGCTGCTCTACTATATCCTCTATACTCTAGATGTTACGATCATTTTCGCCCTCTGCACCTCTGGAACATGTCATGGCAACATTGGTCTAAAGCGGGTTTCATGAGAGTGAAAAAAGTCCCATCACTGATACGCTCCTTTAAAAAAATACACTAAACTTCAAAGTCAGTTCAACATACCGTTATGCGACCTCAAGATTCGTTTGATGTACATCAAATAATCATACTAGTCTTCTCATTTTATCCACAAGGTGCCGCACATGGAATCTTCAATTTTGAACCCCTGGAGTATCGAGGATGGTGACAGGAGTACAGAGAGCGACAGTGGTCGTAACCCATGGAGTATCGAGAATGGTGACAGGGGTACAGAGAGCGAAAGTGGTCGTAACCCATGGAGTATCGAGGATGGTGACAGGGGTACAGAGAGCGAAAGTGGTCGTAACCCATGGAGTATCGAGGATGGTGACAGGGGTACAGAGAGCGAAAGTGGTCGTAACCCCTGGAATATCGAGGATGGTAACAGGGGTACAGAGAGCGAAAGTGGTCGTAACCCATGGAGTATCGAGGATGGTGACAGGGGTATAGAGAGCGAAAGTGGTCGTAACCCATGGAGTATCGAGGATGGTGACAGGGGTTCAGAGAGCCAAAGTGGTTGTAACCCCTGGAGTATCGAGGATGGTGACAGGGGTACAGAGAGCGATGATGGTGGTTTAATTAGTAACAGGCCCATTGATACTGCATTCGTCTCTGAAGCTTATGTGTGCTAGCTTAAGTACGAAATGGCGATTGGAACAGCTTTAACTTATTGAATGGACCACAAATAGATCAGAGTGTTAAGGTACTCACAATTGTCTTCCATATGTGAAAATTGACAAGGCGGCAATATCAATGTTCACGAGGAGAGAGTACAATGACGAAAAGGACAACACATAGTATCAAATGTTATTTATTTAGTTAAAGTCATGTATCCAGCGTAAATGTAAAGACCTTGTTGCCCGATCTACACTGTATCTGGTCCACAGGGAGGAGTTTAAGGTCCGGATTAGTATGTAGATATCCGTCCAGGACTACCTGTAGAGAAAACACAAAATCTATATCAGTTCTACTACATTCAGGATCTACATTGTAGAATTCTACCACACTACTACTCTGAATTATACCGTAGCGACTTAATGAATAAAACCACTGACAAGGTATAATATGATACAGATCTGACCTGTAGTTGTCGTTTCTTTTCATCTGTGACATCAGGAAGAACATCTCCAAGGCACCATCCTACACTCATGTGGAATGACGGATCCTGGGAAACAACGTGGACCGTTAGTTCATTAATTCTTTCTACCGCAAAAAGGTGCGTAAAATAACTGAATCTCTTACGTTGCTTTTATGTGTGTTTACTTTCGCAGGTTACTGGAGTAGTTTTAGAAGAAGACTACATCTCTAAACTCTGTGTCATTTTCTTATGATATTTTTATGTGATTACCAAGAATGTTCGTTACTGCATTAACACTATTTTAATATTCAGAAGAAAATGTAACTAAGTACAGGTAATACACATTGTCCACATGTGTGTCAGACAAAACCCTCCTGTCACTAACATTATTACAAACACTTCACCTTGTAGTATTTCTGAAGTCCAAACTCCTCAAGGCACTTGTCAACAGCTACAACGTAGTCCCTTAGCACAGCTGGATGAGAGTGTACCTCAACTGCCACAAATGTTCTGTATAAATATTTAAGGATTAAGAAAAAAATATCATTATGATAACAAGGTAATCGGTAATAAGAATTTATATATTACTGTATTTAAAATGTCGGCGTGTGTAATCCAATATTCATTAAAGACTAAGGGTGGTCAAGTGGCGTTGTGGTAACCTATGGCTAGACGTCCTGGGTTCGATTCCTCCAGCGGACGTAAAAAAGGTAATACCGGGTCACCTGCCCGACCATAAGGGTTTTCTCTCGTGTATTTTGGTTTCCTCCCATACTAAGATCTCATGCGGCCCAATGAGATTGATTAAGAAGCTGATAGCTGTTTTGAGATCAATGTACAATAAAGTTCATATTAAAGAAAAAAAAGCTTATTACCTGTTACTTGCGTTTTGGCCTATTTACAAAATACAAATACAGCATTTTCATTGATAGAATGGGGAAATGTTTACAATCATCGTGATATCTCCCCTTCCACACCAAATCAAAGGCCCATGTTTATCAGTCCTGAAGGCTAGCTTTTTCATAAATGAGGGTACCAGAATATTTGCATACTGACACCCATTACCAGCACCAAGAAAAGTCTTGCGATGTACATACAGAAATGATGTCAATACCATTTTAAGTGATTAAAAGTACATTCTAGTAATATTAATTTTGATCAAAATCAACGCATCATCAATTATATCATAGGATTCAGTATAAATGAAACGTTCATACTTAACATTTGTTAAAGGGGAGTAGCTCTAGAAAAGCTTGGATATTTTGGCAAATAACCCTTGTAAAATATCCCTTTGTGATCAGACCATCTAATGGAAGCATGATATACTCACAGCCATTGTTGTATAGTCATTACTGTTATCAACAGAAAATAAAACAAGAAAATACCAACATGTCAACTTAATAAAATTCCCAAACTAAAATTTCATAAAAAAAAAAGATTTACTCGAGAAATTGCTAGAAGAATTTGATTATTTTTTTTATCTGCATCAAAGAGCACTTCATCCTGATGCCAATTCTGGTGTCAATCAATAAACACTTGCTTATTTCACAAGTACAAATGTAATGTTACATCTCAAAGACTGTACAAAGGACATACATGTGAATTTCACATCAATAAGATACATTAAAGCCAAATTATCAATTGAAATTCATCACACAGCAGTTGAGTCCTTTTAGGACTGATAAGTGATACTAAGGCTAAAAGAGCCTAAGTTTGAGACATGGAAGAAGCTTATATGGTGTAGATGTGGTAGGGGATGGTTATTGTAGGGGATGGTTATTGTAGAGGGTGGTTATTTTAGAGGGTGGTTATTGTAGGGGATGGTAGTTGTAGGGGGTGAAAGTTATAGTGAATGGTGTCACAACGTGTGGAAGTTGTAAAGGTGTTTGTTATATTTGATGGTTGGTACATGATGTGAATATTAAAGGGGAAAATGTTATGTAGACGTAGATTGTTGGCAGAAGCTTATGTAGGGGATGCTTGTGGTAGGGAATGGCTGTTGAAGTGGTGATTATTTGATAAAGGGTAGTTGTAGAGGATTTTTGCTGTGGCTGCTAGGGATCCTTGTGGTAGGGAAAGGCTTTTGTAGGGGTGATTATTAAAGGGGATTATTTTATAGGGGTAATTGTTGTAGAGGATTTTTGCTGTTGTTGTAGGACATTTTACTATAGGAGTTGGAGATATAAGAAATTGTTGTTATAGGGTGTGACTTTTGTTATAAATGATGTTTGTCACAAGGGAAGATTTTTTGTACAGGAAAGGTTGTTGTGAGGGATGGTTGTTGTAATTAGGTTGTTGTAGAGTGTGATTGTTATAAGGGATGGCTGATATGATGGCAGTTATTGTTGGGGAAGATTGTTGTAGAGAATGGTTGTTGTACAGGAAGGGGTGTTGTAGGAGATGGTTGTTGGTTGTTGTAGGGCAGTGTTGTTGAAGGTTGTGATTGTTGTCTAGAAGTGGTTTTTATTTAAGGACAGTGATGATGTACATAGCTTTAGCTACAGGAACCAAATCTTTCTTTCAAACTTGTTGGATACAAGACATCTTTGAGAATACAAGTGATATGAAGTACTCACCTATTCTTCTCATCATTTGTGTATAACTTCACAGATATCATCTCACAGTAACACCTGACAAATACAAATTTGAATTTGCATATTAAAATATATTCAGAAAGTAGCCATATTCTCGTTTGGAAGGTAATTTAAATGTGACCTATGTGTACTTGGATATATAAACAGAGGAGACCTTACTTGTGCAGTATTCGTGCCTTGGCCTGGAGTGAGTCAGTGAGTGATTTGATCCAATGGTGACGTAAACTGACAGTCCGAGAGAGACTGATGTGAAAACTTTCCATTGGCTTGAAGTCCAGCGGACGTAAACAAAGCAATAGCTCACTGACTAAGTCATTAAATCGTGAATCATGATCATCTGGAATATACACAAAAATTTCCAATGATGATAAAGTACCAAAAATGAAGAAAAAAATCATCACTCTCAGAATAGATTTTAGCATCCTCAATGCATTAGAACTTTCAGAACAGGAATCCTTCTTAAAGCTGTATACCTTATGTCTCTATGTGGACAGAAAAGCACATTTAATCAGATATATAGACATCATTATGGTAGTTGAACAACATATACCAGACATTAGAATTTGGTTATACACTCATTGAAGCCTTTTAGACATCATGTTTTTACATCAGGTTTATAACAGGCAATGCCAATACACTTTACATATGTTAAAGTACAATTTCAATCAGTATGGTGTGGTGTGATCATCAGTTATCCTTTAACATTATAGCCATTATGAAAACAAAATATCCAATCACAATCTTCACCTACATGGGATGTGCACATGTGTAGCCCAGCTTCCTTCCTCATGTGCGAATGAACGTATCCGTCCGTCATGTTTTTCGGGGTCATCTTGATGAGTTCGAGACTTTTCAGCAAACAAAGATTTTATCGTGTCAGGAAGGGGCAAGACATTCGCACTGCAGAAATAAAAGGTGACTAGTGATAAGAAACTGATCAATTAAAATTTACCCAGAAATCAATAATCAAACTGCAAACTACATGTATATTACATACATCTGTGGTACTAATAGTATCAAAAGAGATACACAATGTGTATACACATTTAACCTCCTCCATCATACATACAGTCACACTAAATTAATACTATAGCCTGAGACTAATAAGGTAACTCTGTATGTAATTTAAGTGCTGTTATATTTGGACAGGGACGTCTGTCATATACGTCCCTGATTTGGAGGCCTGATCAGACCTGATGCATACCTGTGTTTTACTTTCTTTGTCTCTAAATTAACCTCAGGGGAGGAACATCTTTTTAATCTGTTCCCAACTCTACTGTCAGATGTATGTGTATCGCTAGTTCCATCTGTTCTTTCCTCGTCACTATCTGAGTAAGATACTAAACAAGACATTTTATACCGCCAAAAGTTAAAGTGAAACTAGCCGGAAGTCGATTCCTCTCACAAAAGAGTTCATAGTCTAGAGTTAAGTACGAGTTATCTCTCTTAGATTTACTCCAACTCCACAGATTGATAAATATTTTTTTTACTCTCTTTTGGAAAACTGAACAACATAACATACGTGTTACGTCAGTATTCTCCTCAGATCTCATACATCAAGCACATATTGATATGAGTATGATAATGAACATAGTATAAAGAACGGCATGGTTACTATCCGCATTGTCTCTCCAGCCTGGTGTAATTCGTACATATAAGTTTGTTCTCTGGAGTTCCAAACAGTGAGTTTCTTCTGATAAACAACTAGACAATTTTTAAGCATCAACGACATAAAGTCTTGTTTTAATCGAGGTTACTTAGGGCAAGTTAAAGTGATTTCAGCTTTCACAAAAAGGGGAAAAACATTTTTTTTTCTCCCTTGGAATTTATGGTCGATTATATATTTCCCTTTCAAAAATGAGATGATGGGGAATGATGTGGAAATATGTAATAAAAACTTTCACACACTTTGACATGTTGGAATATAAATAGCAGACTCCTCCTTCTACAAATGTGTTACTATGTAACGATAGTTTACTAATAATTCCCAGTTATTGTTTTCTAGAAATGCCATTTAGTTTGCCGGCTATAATGATATTTAAAGTTAAACATCTTTTCACCTAATAAGTCAACAGGATCGATTTCTGACAATCAAAAAAGGGAAAAACAACTTTTTCAAGTGTTTAAAACCATCGTTTAGAATTTTCATGAAACATACCTTGACCAGCGGTAGTAAAAGCATCTAATGATTTCCTATTATTATTAATTTTTTCTATTAGAAAATTGTACATATTAATTGTCTAATGCAAATATGACTACTATTTCCTTCCAATCCCACATAAGTACTAAGTACTAAATACTCATAATACACCCAGTGAGGGCAGCCAATCAAATTAATGGGTTTCTCAAAACATTAACTGTTTATGTATATATATATTGCTTTTATATTTTTATGGGGGGAGAGGGGGGAGTAAATTCCTTTAATAATTCTACCAGTTTAAACATACTCAGGTTTTCAAAATTACATCTTTTCAATGTCAAAGTCGGAATAATGGGGACATTTGAAAATAGAATGAAATCCATTTTCAACATCATTTAAATTACAAACGGTACTATGGATTAGATCAAATACTCTCTGTATATTTCTGTATAGCCATTTTTCTATATTCAGTGTTATGGACTGATAGTCTTATTCTTGATATGTCTTTCAAACATTCCTTGGATATTTAACGAGGATGAGAAATGTAATCTGGAATTGCGAAATAGTTGGGTTTTTTTTTTTTTTTTTTTTCTTCTTTTTGTTCAAACTTTTATGTAATTTTTCATAGCCTCCATTTACTATTTCATCAAAGATACACAAATCTTAGTACAGGAAAGAAAAAACTTTAAATATAAGCTGTAATATTGTAAGTGAGTTTCCATGGGAAATACCTTACCTGAGGTTTTCTGTCCACAATTACAGGATGGGGACTTAGTTACATGTATGTCATCAACCAGAATCTAGGAGTTCACCATCAGATACAAATCCGATTGTGTGAACAAAGATTATTTCCGTGTTCGGTTCCGATTACAGTGTATGAGCAAAATTAACTTGGTAACAGGAGAAACTGCCAACAGAAAGATAGCAGATTGTTACAACTATGTGATTTACAACGCTGTGAACTTGTAGCAATTCAATGGAGACCTCATGTTATTAGTAACATTATAATGGAGTTTACAATTTCAGTCATGTGATTTACAATTTGTAGTCAATGTCAATAGTCCTAGTGATTTACAAGTTGTAGTCAATGTCAATAGTCATAGTGATTTACAATTTGTAGTCAATGTCAATAGTCATAGTGATTTACAATTTGTAGTCAATGTCAATAGTCATAGTGATTTACAATTTGTAGTCAATGTCAATAGTCATAGTGATTTACAATTTGTAGTCAATGTCAATAGTCATAGTGATTTACAATTTGTAGTCAATGTCAATAGTCATAGTGATTTACAATTTGTAGTCAATGTCAATAGTCATAGTGATGATTTGTTTACATAGTGAATTTGTAGTCAATGTCAATAGTCATAGTGATTTACAATTTGTAGTCATAGTGATTTACAATTTGTAGTCATAGTGATTTACAATTTGTAGTCAATGTCAATAGTCATAGTGATTTACAATTTGTAGTCAATGTCAATAGTCATGGTGATTTACAATTTGTAGTCAATGTCAATAGTCATGGTGATTTACAATTTGTAGTCAATGTCAATAGTCATGGTGATTTACAATTTGTAGTCAATGTCAATAGTCACGGTGATTTACAATTTGTAGTCAATGTCAATAGTCACGGTGATTTACAATTTGTAGTCAATGTCAATAGTCATAGTGATTTACAATTTGTAGTCAATGTCAATAGTCACAGTGATTTACAATTTGTAGTCAATGTCAATAGTCATAGTGATTTACAATTTGTAGTCAATGTCAATAGTCATAGTGATTTACAATTTGTAGTCAATGTCAATAGTCATAGTGATTTACAATTTGTAGTCAATGTCAATAGTCATAGTGATTTACAAATTGTAGTCAATGTCAATAGTCACAGTGATTTACAATTTGTAGTCAATGTCAATAGTCACAGTGATTTACAATTTGTAGTCAATGTCAATAGTCATAGTGATTTACAATTTGTAGTCAATGTCAATAGTCATAGTGATTTACAATTTGTAGTCAATGTCAATAGTCATAGTGATTTACAATTTGTAGTCAATGTCAATAGTCATAGTGATTTACAATTTGTAGTCAATGTCAATAGTCATAGTGATTTACAATTTGTAGTCAATGTCAATAGTCATAGTGATTTACAATTTGTAGTCAATGTCAATAGTCATAGTGATTTACAATTTGTAGTCAATGTCAATAGTCACAGTGATTTACAATTTGTAGTCAATGTCAATAGTCATAGTGATTTACAATTTGTAGTCAATGTCAATAGTCACAGTGATTTACAATTTGTAGTCAATGTCAATAGTCACAGTGATTTACAATTTGTAGTCAATGTCAATAGTCACAGTGATTTACAATTTGTAGTCAATGTCAATAGTCATAGTGATTTACAATTTGTAGTCAATGTCAATAGTCATAGTGATTTTTACAATAGTTGATTTACAATTTGTAGTCAATGTCAATAGTCATAGTGATTTACAATTTGTAGTCAATGTCAATAGTCATAGTGATTTACAATTTGTAGTCAATGTCAATAGTCATAGTGATTTACAATGTCAATAGTCATAGTGATTTACAATTTGTAGTCAATGTCAATAGTCATAGTGATTTACAATTTGTAGTCAATGTCAATAGTCATAGTGATTTACAATTTGTAGTCAATGTCAATAGTCATAGTGATTTACAATTTGTAGTCAATGTCAATAGTCATAGTGATTTACAATTTGTAGTCAATGTCAATAGTCATAGTGATTTACAATTTGTAGTCAATGTCAATAGTCATAGTGATTTACAATTTGTAGTCAATGTCAATAGTCACAGTGATTTACAATTTGTAGTCAATGTCAATAGTCACAGTGATTTACAATTTGTAGTCAATGTCAATAGTCACAGTGATTTACAATTTGTAGTCAATGTCAATAGTCACAGTGATTTACAATTTGTAGTCAATGTCAATAGTTAGTGATTTACAATGTTGTAGATATTGTAAAAAAATATGTGTAAAATATGTAACAGGTTAACACGGGAAACGCATTACAAGATGAAATATTACGTTTTAAAAATGTTGCCTCTGTCAAAGAAACAAAACACTCCAATGAAAAGAATTAACCGGGATGATCTTGTCAGCAGTTACATTGAAGTCCTCTTTTATAACGGAAGTCTTGAGGAGTTTGACTCTGGGTATATATCACAACAATTGGCAAGGGCCTACAAACAGGAGCATATAATTGAAACGGCGAGGGGTGGGGTGGTAGGATTTGTATATGTTTATAAAGTAGATACTAAACTCATTAATGGCAAGATAAAAAACAGACATATATCTGCGCAAAAACAAAACCAAATATGGGTATATTTCTATGAGTGCAAAATAAATATACAAAGATAGTACCGTATAAGCCGCACTGGTTACGAGAGTAGTTGGGATTTGCGCCCATGTTTCTTCAAATTTGTGGTATATAGGATTGATTTGCTCGTCATTTGGGGAAATTGATTTAACTGCAGCAATGACTGGACACAATATATGTAAGATGCTAGACCTACACCAAAGCCAGCTAGTGTTGATGGGAGAGATGGCGAAGATAACGCCGAAGAATAGAACAAACTAGATGTAAATGATATATTCGAATACCCGGAAACCAGTAAGGACTTGACTCCAAAGTCCATCTAAACCATCTCATGATGAATCATACTTATCTCTGGTCATGGTCTTCTGACATGGTCTTCTGTTAAGTAATGTTTTTATCGAGGATTGTTCTTTAGAATATTTTAGAAACATTAAGTTACTTTATTTGATACTCTTTAAGATTAACCTAGATCGTAAGGATTATTGTTTCATCGGAATATTGGTTAAATTGTATAATTGATACAGCATCTTGTGCTTTATGGAAAAAGACTAATAAAATACCAGTATAATAGAAACCAGCCAACTTCACTTATGGTTTAGTGTCTCCATTGTAATATATGGCATGTACCGTTGCTATGGGGACATTTGGTTGCTAAGATAAGACATAATTGCCGTGAAATTCCAACTCCGTGTGTATGTTGCCACTGCTATCGTCATTTAATCTTGTACTATCAAACGGCTTTCTGTGTCCATTACGATATGAATAATGTTCTGATGTAATGGAGAATCTTCGGTAATTGAGGAGTTTATAGGGAAAATCATAAACAAGTCCGGTTACGTTTAAATATGTTTAAAGATCCTTTAAAG